TCCTTGAGACCTACCCTACCGGCGGCCCAAGAGCTTTTCTGGGGGACACGTTTAACCCACCAGCTCAGATCTGAATATGTGTTCCCTCACCTGGTCCTTACATACTGAGCAGTGACAGGTCCTCGGACCGTATCCCCCAGTGAGCGCTCATTCGGGGGCCAGTGTGCCCACCCTGTCTGCCGGGCAGCTGGGTGCCGAGCTAACGCAGCTGCAGGTACCAGGAGTGCTTCCCCACGGCGTGGGAGGTGAGCACACGCTGCAGGAACGCGATGTGCCTCTAGCGTTCCTGTAATCGCCCATCTTAAAGCCACTGACTAAAAGCAAACGCTGATGCCACGGGGCACATATCACTGGGAAACTGTGATTTAATTCACTTTCCTTCCTCTCAGTTCCTCGATACCTGTATTGCAGTTGTTCCACTCTCCTCGATGCTCTCAGTGCTTGCCTGCCAGCCTCTCCTCCTTTGCACCCGTGTCTCACCGCAACAGTTTATTTATTGGGAAAGAAGGGGAAGGGCACTAGATGAGCCTGCCCCCAGCTACGAGCAATAGCACATTTTTTTCCTACCGAGACAGGTTGGAGGAAAGCTGCCGTAAGATGCAATCAATACAGGGCTAACGTGTGCAAGGGAACACCCAGAGCCTAAACCACAACAGCCTGAGGTTTCTTTGAGTCACAGGCTGGAGCCTCTTCTGTTCCTTTATCAGTTTCAGCCCCACGAGCCTTCTCATCTTTCGTTGTTTTTAAGCATTACTTACCGAGGCGTTTTTATACCCAATGTATTACTTTAATTTCAAACCCAGCAGAGCTCTGGAAAGGTTGAAGATAGCTTTTGCCAGCTTCAATTACAAAGAAAGAAGATACAGATCTTTGGGCATCCTTTGGCGAAAACACACGATACCTCCTGGGCAGGCTCCCACCAATTATCAGCTGGTTTCAATACAAATTAACCAAACCACCTTCCTTTCTTCATTTCTCAGCATTCGGATGCCCGGAGTTTGCGCTGTCCCGCTCCGCTGCCTTTCACCGTCTTCGCGAGCCCGGGCTCAGCCCTCTCAGGCTA